TAATGCGAATATAGGGATTACATTTGAAAACTAGGGGTGTGCGATAGACTTACCTCCACGTGGTGCACCCTGGGCAACGTATACTCATAGGATAAAAAAGTCTATTAACTGGCAGTTGACTTCTGACTTCAAACTACCCTCACCCCATTGTATGTCATATTCGACTACTTCCACAGTACTCACCTCACCTTTTTTCTACCTTCGTCTTTGAAGCACTCTTCTGTCCCCCCCCCCTCCCCTCTCGATTTTTTCAAGTTGATGTTCCTTCCCCTCTGTGAAGCCTGAAAGCAACTAAAGAGCTAATGATAGCCATCAAGACGCCTGCCATTTGATATAAATAAATAAATACATTTGAAAACTAGATTAAAATGAGTAAAAGTCTCTCGGTTGTAAAGTTATTTCAAAATTCCAATCTTCCTACTTCCATGCAAACCTTAAATCGATTAGCCAGAAGTCTGGAACAATATGTCACCTACTTAACTCACGGATTAAAACAACATTTCCCAATGCCATAAAACCAGACATATTTCAGCCATTTTAAGTGCCAATTTATATTTAGCGCATAGGTATTCTGAGCACAGTGTGGGGGGGGGGGGTTTATTTGCTCAAGAGAAATAAGAGGACACTTATGGAGATCAGTTAGCAGTTATGGTTGTTCCTAGTTATAATAGTCTTCTGCATCTGATGCGCGTGGATACCTGCGGTGGGGTAGTATTTACTAGTTTAATATGAATGAACGTAAAATTAAAATCAATCTAACATTGAGGAGTAGTTGGCATCTATCAAAATCATCATATTCAGTTCACAAATGACATGAAACACCGGTTGAAATAAGCAACAACATTGAATTCGAACTCTAAATCAGTTTCATGTTGTAGACATTCACTCAATCGGGGTGTGCGATAGACTTACCTCCACGTGGTGCACCCTGGGAAACGTATTCTCATACGGCAAAAAGGTCTATTAACCGGCAGTTGACTTCTGACTCCAAACAACCATCACCACCACTGTATGTCGCAGTACTCATCTTACCACTTCTGAGTCTTTGTGTCTGTCTGTCTCTTTTACATCTGCGAATCACTCTTCTATTCCCCTTCCCAAATTCTTCTCACTTTGATGTTCCTCCTCCTCTCAGTGAAGCCCGAAGTCAACTAAAGGGCTAATGATAACTATCAAAACGCCTGCCATTTGAAATAAATAAATAAATAAACTCACCTAATTCAATCTAAAACACATTTCCCTCACTTATACACCCCACACCCACACCCACACACACACTATTTGCACTTATTTGCCCCTCAAGTGCAAAGGTTCCTCTGTTTCCTACTCTTTTTTCCAAGTTCATCTTAGGCGGGGCGGGGGGGGGGGGGGGGGGTCTAACGGAGAAAGAAAAAAGGTACCTGTGAGTGAGTGAGTGAGGGAGGGAGGAACCTACCTGGCAAAGAAAGAGAAGGAGAGGAGAGCGATTGTGAGAACATGGTGAACGAGTATCACAGTGGTATCCTTGCGTCTGATATCAAGTCGAATGGTCGCGTAAAATGAGTGCATATAATAGCCAATCTGGAGCATGTACAGCCAGAAATACTGAGCGGGCACGGGGACATCAAAATATCCATCTACAAAGAACCCAAAAACAAAGCCGCGCTCAGATAGACACTCAGGACATCAAAGTAACAAATCATGGGAGGCAGGAGGGGGGGGAGGGGGGTTTGTTATCACAAACAATGTTTCATTCGAACTTGAACCTGAAAAACAAAAACATGAGTAAAACTGATTACGCAAAGATTAATGGTAGCCTAAAGGAAACAGACAACATTTTGAATGAACAATGTGACTGCTAATTGTGCGCAGTGAACAATATTTCGGCAGATTTACATTGTTTTGATTTGCGAGTATGAAGGCCGCAGATTTGGATCTTGCCAATAAAATAGAGTAAAAAGTGTATGAAATTATGAGAAGGGTAAAACACGAATAGTCTCTATCGGTGCGGTCGATCGAGTGCACTCTATGCACTCGCGCGTAAGCACTCCTCTCCCCCCCCCCCCCCCCCCCCCCCCACGTACTGAACTACCAAAATTTTGGACTTTACGTTCTGACGCACAAATATGTAGGATCACTATTGAGACACCATCGCTGCCAATATGAGTCAACCAACCAACCAACCAGTCAAGCAATCGGTTATCCCATATCCAACGAAAAAAACAAGTACCTTAATTTCCTCAATAGGAAGATGTCGCCTGGGGTACAAGCCCTCTTCCTACCTCTTTCTAGAGAGTCTGAGTATTTGAGACCATATAAAAGTTGCTAATTGGGCTAGTTTTAAAGGAAACTTAGGATGCTTGCTAGGAAATCCTATGGGATGAATAGGCAATGATAAGCATATTCGAATATTTCATTGTTTAACACAGTTGTAAGTAATTTATTTTTCAAAATAAGCAAGTTGACACAAATATTTTTTTTTCAAATTTGAACGATACAATGTGATTAAATGAGACGACAATTCAAGCGGTGCCGAAATTTCAGGAAGATAGGCTTAGCGATTTGCTTACTCAATTCCAAACTGAAATTGCTCCTTCTGGTTTGCAAAGAATTTCCACCAACAAGAACCGATATTGAAGCTGAAAAGTTTTTTGGCTATCTGATCAGAGACATTCTTCCTATTCTGTTCAAAATTGGTTTAAATAACAGCCTCTTTTATACTCACTCCATGTCTAAGATACGGGTGTGCGATAGACTTACCACGTGGTGCACCCTGGGCAGCGTATACTCATACGGCAAAAAAGTCTATTAGCTGGCAGTTGACTTCTGACTTCAAACTACCCTCACCCCATTGTATGTCACATTCGACCCCTTCCACAGTACTCATCTTACCTTTTTCTCTACCTTTGTGTCTGTCTACCTCTTTTACATCTTTGAAACTCTCTTCTGTTCCCCCTCTCCCTCTCGACTTGTTTCACTTTGATGTTACTCCTCCTCTGTGAAGCCTGAAGTCAACTAATGGGCTAATGATAACTATCAGAACGCCTGCCATTTGATATAAATAAATAAATAAATATCTAAGATACTTCTTCGCCACCTTTGTATTGAACATTTGCTAGAGTAAAGGGCGACCACTGAGTTCAAGTACTGATATCTGATTTTAGCAAATTGGAGAATTTCGAACTACCGAGATTAGATTCAATTATTCCTAACTTATAAAGCTTTAAAAAAAACCAGATTATCCGTGTCGTTTCGACTCAGTTAAACAAACGGCAAATAGTTTAAAGGAGTTGTCCTCTAGTTAGGTGTATAGCGTTGTCATAGTAGCTACCTCTCAAAACAAACACGCCAATAGCTTTGAATTAACAAGCTCCAGTTGTTGGCATTGCGTGTGGGTATTGTTTTGGAAACCATTGGCTACCTAAACATGCATGTCCAATCTACAGGAGGGGACAAGGAAAGGGTAACTTTATGGGTTTCGTCTCCTAATAAGTTCTCAAATAAAAACGCGATCTTAATTTGAATAAATCAGGAATGTTAAATGCGTGAAGTTAACCAAATTAAGGAAAGATAAAAAAGTGGGCCTTAGAGTGACAACTAACCCTAGATTCACATGCGAAAAAACGCAGGTTGGGAGATAATGTGGTTCTTGAAAGAGTAGAGCTTAGCGATACTAGAAGAACTTTATTATTTTCGAAGCTCAGATGGATATCGCCGTAACCTTGGGCATTTTTTGAAGGCAAAACACCTGATTGCTTTAGAAATATGTGCTTTATCAATCTGTTCCATATTAATTACCAAAGTAGTTGAAGATTAGCTAACGAATGTAGTAGGCTCATTGAATTATCTTACAGACCCCCCCCCTCCGCCCGCCTTGAGCTTTCAATGTAGTTAGCGCATGAGAAATTACATTAGAAGGTGACAATTCGATGAATTCTTGCAAATCCCGATTGCAATCAATAACCAACAAACATTTTTAAAGGAAGTAAAAATAATAACTCACATTAAACTCAAATATCTCAAAGTCAAAAAAAATCACAGAGGGGGTGGGAAAAATCCGCGCAACAACTATTCCACAGTAAGGAAACACACAATAAATCATACTGATGCACTTATATTTCGTCAGCCAATTGGAATACTTGACACAACCTTCATATGACAAATGCCGACTTACAGAAGGTATCATACCCAGTTACACCCCCCCCCCCCAGGGGGTTTTACTATCAAAAAATTCCAATAACCTCAAGCAGTATTCATGCGTATGACTTGAAATTGGTGATGTATTTGAGCTCGCATGGAACTACTGGACGTAAAGACGAAGTAGGGCATATTTCATGAAACATGAGAAGAGAGAAATGAATTCAACGTCAAAAACTCTGAAGAAAACTTCGAACTGACAAATTCTTACTTATTCACAAGTGCCAAAAAAGCAACTCTTAGAGAGGGAGAAACCATAGAAAGAATTTAGATGAGCAATTAATCTTGAAAAGCTCAAAAATGAGGAGCACATTAGGGTGGGGGGGGGGGGGGGGGGGAGGGATGTGATTCCTCAAACTCATTACTATGGTGCTTAATTAAAAGAATTTGACAGCGACATTAGACTGACAAATTACATTGACATTAGGGGAAAACAACCAGTCCCGTAATCTCCAGTAAACAAATTAAATGAAGATCGTACAAATCCACGAAAATCACAAAAATTAGGCCAAATAAGTAATCGCACTACATTAAAATCAATCAAGGCATTAGCGTGCACATGATCGGCTTACTTAACCACTTGAAAAAAAAACAGTTCTGTAGAGTTCTCAATGCGAAGGAATAGGTCTTTATAAACAATTAAAGATTACTCAGCTGGCATTATTGTTGAGCACTAAAGACCAAGAAAAAATGTTTTAAAAAATGAAACCTACTTGAAACTAGAATTTCATCGCCGCCTTCATTAGTCAAACTTAATTAAAGCGTCTGATCATTCCTCTGCAAATGGGAGTGCACTGGTTGACGCCAAAATCATGACTTCCGACTTCGCAGATGAGATAACAAACCATTACGCAAAAAAATTCATAAAGAAAATGCAATGTAAATCGGATTAGACACTAAAACACGTTGTAAGAATTATAAAAAATGCATTTATGAAGGTGCTTCCCCCAACGGTAATTTTATTATGGAACTTCCGTTGTTGCAGGCTATAAATGTACAACCTTCCATGTTAGCAGTAGCCAGTAACGTTTAGACTTTCTGCTCAGTGTGATCAAATGGGAGTTAAACCCAGGACCTCTGAGAGATGGCGGACGCCTGTGATGACCAATGTGTCACCGACGCACAAGGAGTCAGAAACACCGTTGCTAACTCATGCAAACACTAACTTCACATGAAGTAATTTAACATTTCCTGAACCACTGATATTCTCCATTTGACTTGTGAATGGATTTTTTTTAAAGATTACTTACCAAATGAATAAATATGAAAGCCTAATGATTTTATAATAACCCTCAAGTGTCAGTAGTTGTAGTTATCACCTGCAATCCATTGATTCGGTAGTACATGAATAAATCCACGAAAGCACACATACACACAAGACGAATGCGAGAAGGTGTGCTAGATGCCGTGTGTACACATTCACACACACACACACAATATCATTTAGTTAGAGAAAACATGTTCATATTTAATACACATGCGTGAATCACCCACCTCCCTCCCCCGCCCNCCCCCCCCCCCCCCCCCCCCCCCCCCCCCCCCCCCCCCCGGCTACGTTTATAGTACATAGGCAAGCGATAGCACTATAGTACTAAAAGGAAAATCTCAAGGAATACTCGCAAAATTAGGACTTACGTGTGTAGTGAATTTCCTTGAAAATACAAAGTGGGTAGATAAAGTCATTATATCCATAGTTGTAGAGGGTGAAAGCTTCCACAGAGAAGAGGAAGGCATATGAAATGGCACTCCACAGAGGCGTCATAGCCTTTTTCTGCGACTGCTCTGTAATAAATTTCTTTCCAACTGCTGTCTAGGGGAAGAAAAAAATGACGCGAAATCAGGTAACAAAAAAAATTGGAACTTTACCCTGAAAAAGAAAAAGGCGCAAAGGTATCGGGCAATAGTGAAGGCAATAGCAATCAGAGTTGCGATGAAATATGGCTCCCATTCAACAGTTTCGAGTACGCGGAAATAGATATCAGAAGAGTACGTGTAGATATCCGGGTGGAAACAGAATTCGACCACAGCAAGGTAGGTATGATTGAGAAATTCAAAGATACCGGGAGGACCAGTCACAGCATCACACTGATTGGCAAGATTATCGAGGTATTGGGGAGTAAATCGATTCGAAAGGGTCGACTCTCCAACAACAAAAGCCTTATCTCGTTCATACGACGATTTCAAGACCTGATATCGTTTGTGGGTAGTTGGATCTATCATCCAGACATATTCGTCACCTTCTGAGATTGATTCTGCCAGGGATGAGATGAACAAAACAGTCAGTATCCACCACAGCCATTGAAATTGCAGACGAATTTTCATCTGAAAACAGCCATATAATATCGAATCTAGAATTCAAATCTGATATAAGATTGGAAACCAAGAAGTCAGAAGTAGTTTAATAACACATATATTTTATGTAGAAAAATACACACATCTAAAAAATATAAAGCCCTAAAATACACTAAATTTGCATTACGTCGAGTTCTACGTGGAAGTATTCAAAGCCATAAGATGATACTCTCCGGTGAGGAATTAGATTGACGGCCCTCAGGCCACCGGTAACCAAGCAGAATGGGTTGAACTTCAGCAACAGCAGATCTTCTTGCAGTATCAACTTCACCGGGAAGATTTCGTTGAGTGGCTCTGAGTTTGCGTTTACCGGGTCTTACTGCAGGTGGATTATTTTCCGAATCTGAGATAATCTCCTCACCATCTCCTTCTTCATCTTCAGTTGGCTTTGTCAAAGACTGAAAGATGACAATCAGATGTGTCCGAGAAAATAAGAAAACTATTTAGCAAATTAAAAAGGAGAAATTACCAAAAACTGTTCTCTGCGTTCACGCCACTGCCCACCATTCATCCTATCCTTGTCATGTTCCCATGGATACAAAAAGGGATTCTTGGGGATAAAATCAGCACTGCGTCCTTTTGTGATTTTGTTGGCTTGTGTGCGCAGACGTTCAAAGACAGTTTGACTGCACTGAATAGCCTTTTTGATGTAATCATCCACAACACTTTCAGGTTGCTGCCTAGCACCACGTTTGCGCTTTTGGGAGAGATTGTAAACATTCGTCAAGGCTCTGTTTTTTGAGAAAAGTTGGGGAGGTTGCATGGGTTTATTTGAGGAAACTATGTTCCCACCGACTATTGCGACAAAATCAATGAGATCATTAACTGGTATGCAATCTTTATCAAAATAATTAAATATTGATAGATTCTGATTTAAAGGCCTTGGAGTTGACTTGTGACCTCTAGACTGATGAGATAAAAAAATCATATTAGATACTAGAAATCGATACATGAAAAATTAAAATAAATATTTAGCCCACAGTAGTAGCAGGAGCTGAGGTTCGGGCTCTTTTTGAAGCTCGTCCTTTGGAATCCAGCGTTGGTTCATTGAGTTCTTCCCTAGTAGGAAAGGTACTAAGCTCTTCTATAAGCTCTACGTAATCAGAACTTTCGGAATTTGTTTCAATCGCTACATCAGACGCCCCAGCTGCAGATCGAGGGGGAATATCTTCATAATCTGTGTATAAATCACCATTTTCATGTCGATCCCTTATAAAGAAAATAATTGAATTTATCAAGAAACTTTAGCACGTAAAAGGTCTATAGACCATTGGATACAGATACGTGGGGATAAAGACGCCAAATGCAAAATGGAGAATTCAGAAACCAATAAAAGACACAAAATAAAATATAACGACATATTGATTAGGGGAAATTAAAGTAGTTAAAATAATAAAATGTTCTCAAACATAACAAAAATTAGAAAATGGTTGCAGAAACTATTCAACACAATAAGCATTCGAGATTAAGCAAAGTCTTCACGTTAAAAAAATAAGAAACTAACTGTTGATCTTACATTTAAATTTATATATATATATAGTATCACACCGCAAGGCGACAAAAATTTTAATTTGCTGTAATTTCGGGTTAGTCAACTCCAATTAGCCAGCACGGTACAAAAGTGTGCGTTTACTCAGTGTAAAATAATAATCATTTGATTTTGTGAGGTCATTTAGCTTATACATAAAACCTAAAATATTGATAAATTTATTTTATATATTGTTAACATTTTTTATAAAATAAGCGAATTATTTTTTAAATTCTGTACAAAGTAATATTAAAGCTTATCCTAGGTTCGATGTTGTTAATATCAAGATAAATCCTATATGAAATTTCTAAATTCAGATTGGACAACTTAATGCAGAAACAATTGCGATTTGATCAGTAAAATCAGATATATGCGTTAGCATCGACTAATTTCACTTGTTTAAGCTCTAATATCCCATTTCAAATATACAATATTAAGTATTCATAATAAATTTGGTATCAGCTTTCTTTTGTCTTTATTCATTAGTTTAATCTCAATATTTCTCAATAATACCTAATTTAGGGTTGGCACGCTTTAATAATCTCACCTAAATTGGCTTAAAGAAAGCATATTGCTCGGTGCAACTAATTATTATTATTATATCAAGTGGCAGGCGTCTTGATGGTTATCATTGGCCCTTTAGTTGACTTCAGGCTTCACAGAGAGGAAAATACATCAAATTAATCATTAGCCCTTTAGTTCACTTCAGGCTTCACAGAGTGGGAGGAACATCAAATTGAAAAAGTCGACAGGAGGGGGGGAACAGGAGAGTGTTTC